TAATTTCTTTGTCTCAAGATCCTTAACTTAATCACATTTGCAAAATCCCGTTTGGCTTGTAGGGGAATATATTTACAGGTTCTAGGATTAGGAGAGGGATATCTTTGGGGAGGTCATTATTCTGATTACTCCACCATCCTGCCCATGCAGGTCCTGGACCAATGGGCCCCCCATCCTGTAGCAGAAGCTCTGTCACACACCAAGGAATGGAGGAGTGTCCCCTCAAAGCTTTGTCTGCTTTCCTAAGAGCTTCTATCTTGTGCGAGCATGAAGGAATACTCAGTAGAGCAGTAATATGAACCAAACAGCTGAGTTATGGGGCTTTGGCCTCTTGTCCATCAGTTCATCTAGATTGTTTTTTTTTAAGATTTTATTTATTTATTCATGAGAGACACAGAGAGAGGCAGACACAGAGGCAGAGGGAGAAGCAGGCTCCCTGTGGGGAGCCCGATGGAGACTCATCCAAAGACCCCGGGATCATGAGCTGAACCAAAGGCAGATGCTCAACCACTGAGCCACCCAGGTGTCCCTGGATTGGGTTTTGTACATTAACCAGATCCTTAGTTCTATTTTCATTCTTCAGTCAGATGGCCTCATTCTTGTGTGTGTCTGTTCTTTATTGCTAATTTGTTTTTATTTCTATTCTGAATTCAACTTAGAGTAATTTCTCTCAGTTTCCTTGAACTCATGCCTCTATTTTCCCTGGCCAACCCCTTGGTTGCAGGTAAAACCTTACCTCTCCGCTATCTTGACTCAGACTCACTGATTCCTCTGGATTCCTTTCAGCAGCAGCCCTTTCCAGATCCAGTTTGTCCCTCTGAATGGATTCTCACTAGAGGTGTGGTTTCCAGGCTTATTTTTAGTTGCAGAGGAACCCTTCCTTGAAGTGAAAGCCCATCATATATGGCAGATGGAATGGAGCTGTCTGTGGGGAGGGGGTACAGCCCCTCCAACTGGACCCATTCTCCTCTCCACCCTTCTTCATGGCTCTTCTGGGCCCGAGTTGAAAACCATCACTCTGGGGACTCTTGGGTGGCTCAGTGGTTGAGCATCTGCTTTTGGCTCAGGGTATGATCCTGAGGTCCTGGGATCGAGTCCCGCATTAGGCTCTGGGGAGCCCGTTTCTCCCTCTGCCTGTGTCTCTGCCTCTCTCTGTGTGTCTCTCATGAATAAATAAGATCTCTTTAAGAAAAGAAATAAAAGAAAACCATCACTCTGCATGTGGATTTGCTTCTCCCTAGTTAGCTGTCTCTTGTCCTGATGGCTTACTTCCTTAAATGCCTTGGCCAGCATGAAGCATGTGTCCTCTCTCGAATTTCCCTCATTCTCTTTGAAGGTCACATTTTCCCCAACAAGCACAACATTTTAACTTCTCATCTCTCTAGTGTGTCCCCAGGTGGGGCTTCCACTCACCTGCTTGTGTCCCATCCGTTCAGCCTTCAGGGCTGGAGGCCATGCTGGAAAAGGCTGGCTGGCCAGCTGCACGTCACCTGGCCTCTCCACCATGTGAGCATTTGAAGTCCTTCACTTAGGCCATAGCTCTCTGGTTACTGAACAATTGACATATTTTTTTTTTCCAGAGAATCTTCTTTGGTCACAAGCACCTTGGAAGAGCAGAGATGCTTCCAACTCAGGGAGGCAGGGGTTCCATGAGCCTGTGAGGAAAGGGGTGTGGAGGCCAAGCTGTGGGGCAGGATCTTCCGGCAAGCCACATGGAGCCCCTTGTAACGTTGGCGTCAACCCTTGTCCTCCGACCCTCCAAGCCAGGTTTGGAGTGGGCTATCCTCCCAGTGGGCAGCTCTGGATGGCAGGGAGTCCCGACAAACTGGGACTGGGGACTTGTGGGTGTCTCTGTGGCCCATTTACTGAGGGCTTCCTGGACATCTTGGAACACATTATGTGGGTCTTTTCCAAGCTCTGTTCTTTTTTTCTTTTCTCATTCTACATAATTATTTCCATACCTAATCTTGTACTTATAGTTGTGTATCCTTTCTCGAAGAAAGCCTTCCAAATTCTATAGGCTTCAGGCCCTCTAAAACCTGGATGTGTCCCTGCAAACCATGGTCTCGGGGCTCTCCCAGCGGACCCAGGGACCCATGCTCTAGGGAGGTTTCTAGAGGAGGCAAAGATTCTCATCTCCAAGGCTTTCCAAGACATCTGTAGTACTTTGTGTACAGGATGTCCATGGCACATGTTCTGGTGGAAGGCAGGGAGGCCTAAGTTTTGAAGTGCTTCTTGTCCTGTCCACAGCATGCCAGTCCCACTGTAGAACCCTAAGGCAGAGGACAACTGGAAACCCATGAGGGTAGGAAAGGGCTACTTTCTCCTGGTTACTCTCCTTGTGCCACACAGCTCCTACACCCAGCTTTGGTGCAAACTTTCTGGAAAAAGGATTCAGTGTGGTCCCTTCTCTCCAGAATGGCTTTTCCATCAGGCTGGGACTCCTGGTTTAGGCTTCAACCTGGCAGTACTGGTGCTTGACTACAATTCCTAAATCTAGCTTTTAAGAGTCACGTATTACATAATGGGAGAGTTTGCCTGCCTGGAACATCTCAGGACTTGTGAGTTCAGTGCCTAGGACCCAGTAGGTTCTTTGGATCTGCTCTTTGCTTTGCATTGTTTCATAGCCATTGATACAAGTTAGATGTGAAAGCCAGTGATAGCTAACACTATTTTTTTTGTTTTATTTTAAAGATTTATTTATTTATGAGAGTGAGCGAGCAAGTGAGCAAGCTTGCAAGGGATGGGGGCAGAGGGGGAGGGAGAGAGAGAATCCCAAGCACATTCCCCACTGAGCATGGAGCCCAATGTGGGGCTCAATGTCACAACCGTGAGATCAGGGCCTAAGTTGAAATCAAGTCAGATGCTTAACCAACTGAGCCATCCAGGTGCCCCAGCAAACACTATTTTAAAAACGTGTAGGGACACTTCTAGATATAGATAGTGGATTAAAGCTTCCCCAAGGCATTTCTCTTTCTTAATTTCTAACAAAAGAAAGTAAATAAAACTACAAGGGAAATTTCCTATCAGCTACCAATACAATCAACTTCAAATTTGGCATCCAAAGAAAGATACAGAAGATTTTGGAATGCTATGGAGTGGCGCAGCACATCTCTGCTTTCTCTCCTGTCCCAAATGCCCAGAAATGGGCAAAATCCTGAACATTCTCCCAAGTGCTCCTGAATCTGAAAGGAAACAGATGTGAGTCATGCCCTTATATTCTTCCTCTTCTGAATGTACCATATTTAAAAGGGTGCTGGGGAGAAATAGGGGAAGCAGGTAGTATGACCCATGGAGCTGACTCAGTTGATGGAAAGAAAACCCTTAAAACAACACTCCAACTGGGAAATTGATGGAAAGCCTGGGTTCTCCCCTTTCCTTGCAAAAGGTATCTAGTATCCTTCTCTCCATCCCCAATCAGGTGACCTGAGCCTTGAGCAGGACATTAATCAGAACCTCAGGACAGGAGCACATGCAGGAATTCCAATGAAGACTGCACTGTGCTTCAGTTGAGCTCTCCTCTCTCCCTTCCTCCCCTCCAACTTCCAAAAAGTGTACAAAATCCAAATACCCTGCCTCTCACTTAGGTCAGAGGGAAAAATAGACTGATCTCAAATAGTGGGGAGATAGTCAATGAGCTCCTCTCTCCTGCCATCATGTTACAGAAGCATAATGTAGGTCTGGACAGAGCTACCAAATCAAGATGAAAAGAAACGGATGCCAACACATGGCAGCACATAATTAATGATAAACAGAGGGGAAAATAGTTGGCAAAAAACAAAGCCTCCTCCCCCTCTCGCCCCTACTCCTATCTCCTGCCAAAGGAAATTGCTTTCAATTGTTTCACATTGAAAACAACTTAATAAGAACACGAATTCAATAATTGAAGGCTCAAAGATAGGATGATAAAATGAAACTTGATAGCAAGGAAACAAAATGAGGACAAAAACAGCATCATGATAGAACTAAGAAATAACTTAGAACTAACAAGAAAGACAACTAACCACACAGTAACTCACATTCCTGAACTGGGGCAGCTAAACAAAGTAAGGAGATTTAAGAAAGTAGAATTACAGAGCACCTGGGTGGTTCCGTGGTTGAGCGTCTGCCTTGGCTCAGGTTATGATCCCAGAGTCCTGGGATCGAGTCCCACATCAAGCTCCCCTCAGGGAGCCTGCTTCTCCCTCTGCCTATGTCTCTGCCTCTCTCAGGAATAAATAAATAAAATCTTAAAACAAACAAACAAAAAAAGAAATTAGAATTACTAGAAATGGAATACATATAAGGATGATCCAACATAAGGATTAACTGGTATCCCTGAAGAAGGAAAATAAAAAATAGAGCCAAAAGAGAATGCCTAATGCAGAAAAAATGTAAACTGCAGATTGAAAGACCCATTATGTTCCAGAAAGGCTGGATTCAGAATGTTTAATACTAAGACATGTCTTGGTTAAATCAATGAACTACAAAACCTGATAGAAAGTGACTTCTTTAGGCATACAAGTAGGACAAAGAGGTCACCTACAAGGGGGAAAATTCAGACTTGTTTTAGATCTTTTCCAGAGAAGAAAGTGCAACATCTACCATACTCTATAGGAAAGAAGGTGAGACCCAAGAATATCATAACTGGCCAAGTTCTGGTTCCAGTGTACAGGCAACAGGCAGACATTCTTAAACATCCAAAACTCTTCTTGATAAAACAGTTTAATGATGAAACTCAGTCCATGAAGAGATGAAATGAAATGAAGAGCTTGCAATGGAGAAGCCTTGATAAAAGGCTTGGAATGCATTTAAATCTAGAATGTATACCAAGTAACTGCAATTATATTTCTACAGAACAGAATATGTTTCTCATAATCCTGGACAATGTAACAATATTAATATAAGTAACAAAAGTCAGGAGGCAGGGCAAGGGAGATTGGCAAGTGGAAAGGATTATGCACGTGTGCGTACACACACAATTCAAATGTATCATTAAAAAAAATGACTGAATATCTTAATGCTTTTCACAATTTTTGTTTACTCTCAGAGGTACCTTTCAACAAGTAAGGTCTATTGTGGTCAAGAAACATGACTTGAAGGTCAACTCTTCTTTAAGTTTCAAGTAAAATCAAATGTCATTCTTCAAATTAAAATAGCATCTGCATTTTTGTCCAATTCTTGTAAAGTATCCCTGTGATCTCTCTTCCTTTCTTTATGCACAAAAAGCTTTCTGGAATGATGTGATGTAATGGTCATTTCTGTGGTCGATTCTGAAAGCTCGTATACAGCTGGTTATTTTCTTGCATGTTACTTTTCAATATTTTAATCTTCCGATACATCTACAAATAAACAATTTTAAGTATTAGAAACAAAATTTTCTCAGACACCTCACTGCAACAGAATAGTCCAAAAACAGACTCAGCAGAGAGGGCTGCTATTTCCCAGCGTCTACTCTAAACATTTTATGGAATTTTTAGCATATACATGATGGCCAGGATGCAGACCCCATTTCCTAGCTGGGGTTCCGGCCGATAGGATGTAGGCAGAGGTACCATATGGCAGCTTGTGGGTCATTGTTGAGTACTTGATCATTTTCTCTTTATCACCTTCATTACTTCCTGCTGTCTGGAATGCGGATATCACTGTATGAGACCAAGAGATCAAGACCTTTCAAAGCAAAGGGACACAGAAGGTGTGTATAGCGTGTCACATCACCTAGACTGCCTTTGTGGATAACATGAGGAAGACAGAAACTTCTGTCTCGTGGAAGCATTGGAACCGAAGCCTAACAACTGACCCACAGACCTACACGTATGCATAGAGAAATCTAGACTCTGATAACTATTTGCATTGTACATCAGTGGGGAAAGACTAAACACCTGGCTTGGCACATGCACAAACAAATCGTCCTTGGACCTAAACGTGACAACAATTTTAAAAACGCTTTGTAAGAAAATGCAAAGGGAATATCTTTATGAATGTGAGAGAGGGAAGGACTTTTTTTTTTTTTTTTTTTTTATTTATTTATTTATGATAGTCACACACAGAGAGAGAGAGGCAGAGACACAGGCAGAGGGAGAAGCAGGCTCCATACACCGGGAGCCCGACATGGGATTCGATCCCGGGTCTCCAGGATCGCGCCCCGGGCCAAAGGCAGGCGCCAAACCGCTGCGCCACCCAGGGATCCCGAGGGAAGGACTTTTTAAAAAGATGTTTTATCGTAAATATCAGAAAGGAAACAATAGGTAAACACCAACATTTTACTCTTTAGTATGACAAAAGGAACTATAACAAATGTAAACAACAAGCAACAGTGAAGTCTGTCATGTTCAAGTTCATTGTGGTGCCAGATGTGTATGTGGGGTGGGGGCAGAGGGGTGGTCAACTAAGCGGAGAGCTGCATATCCATTCCTTTTTACCTCTCAGAGAGTGGCAATGCATATTAGCTTATCAAAATATCTCAGAACTTCTACAGAAATCTTTTTTTTTTCTCGTGTGGAACTCAGCATTCATACATACAGTTATTTTATTTCTAACTGTGGGACCATTGTGAGTGTGTGTGTGTGTGTGTGTGTGTGTGTGTGTGTGTGTGTGTGTAACATCTATGAACTTCTCCTGGGTGTTTAAGGAACACATGGGAATGCTGCCATAAGAAGTAACCCTCTGCTTCATGTGAGAAATGATTGTGGCATTCACTTTTGTGTGCCCACAGGTAACTCTTACTCCTCCCATAGTTTTGGCCAGTAGTAGCATTGGAGGGGAGATGAAGGAAGTGGAGAGGGTGGAGACAGAGGTGGAGGAGAAGAAGAAGAGAGAAAAAGGAAGAAGATGAAGAAGGGAAAGGGGAAGAGGAAGAAGAAAGAAAAAGAAATTTGGGGTTTGGGTAGTAGGTGTAAATTCCTCTAGTGAAGTGAACATATCTCAAGAGGAAGTCAGCTATAATTTGGGTTGTTCCTTCTCATAGCCATCAGCTGGGATTACTACAAGTAGACATTTTGAAACATGTCCGACTAGGGAAAAAAAGGATCATTTTTAAGATAATTTAGGGGGTGCCTAGGTGGCTCAATTGGTTAAGCAGCTGCCTTCAACTCAGGTCATGATCCCAGGGTCCTGGGGTCCAGCCCCCCATGGGAGGTGTCCCTGCTCAGCAGGGAGTCTTCTTTTTTTTTTTCTCTCTCTCCCCCCCCTCCACTGCTCATTCTCTCTCTCTCAAATAAATAAATAAATAAATAAATAAATAAATAATCTTTAAAAAAAGATAATTTAGGGCAGATTTCAGAGAGTTGTGATGCAGAAAATGGCACTTGTGACAGATTTCTTACTAGTTATGGAGGGAAAAACAGGTAAGAGTAGATATGGTCTAGGATGGTCAATTCAACATTGATCTCTCTGTGTGTGTGTGTGTAGTCTGTGTGTGTGTGTGTGTGTGTGTCTGTCTGTCTGCCTGTCTCTCTCTACTCTGACTTTAAGGCCTTTATAGTCTTTTTTTTTTAAGATTTTATTTCCAAGTCATCTCTACCTGCATTGTGAGGCTCAGACACACAACCTGGAGATCAGGAGTCTGCTGTGTGCTCCACAAACTGATCCAGCCATGTGCCCCAAAGCCTTTATGGCCTAGAGAGAGATTTTATTAAGCATTTTATTTCAAATATAGTTTAAAGCTCCTTACTTATTTTGTCTCATTTAATCCTATGACATAGGTACTCTAATTCTTGTTTTTAGGATGAGGAAGAAGACGAACAGTTAATTGTGTAAGGTTAAAAACTTAGCACGGGATTAGAAGCAGGATTCCAACCCAGGAGATTTGCCATTGATACAACTCATTTCCTCACTGCTCTATGGCTTGTGGATAACTACTATGTAGCATGTGAAAACCACCACAGTAGAGGGGAACAAAGGGAACACATTGAGTAGGAAAGGACCACTGGAGTCAGTTTAGTGACAAGCTACAAACTGGGTGGGAGAGGAAGAGAAAGCCATTTTAGGGTAAGAAATTTACCTACCTGCCTGCAAGCCAGTGGAAGGGTCAGGAAGGGGGCTCATCTTAAATCCAGGTGTGCCAAATCCAGATATGGTCTTTGGGCACCTCCTCCCAGCACAAGTTTCTGAGTAGGAAGAACAGGCCACGTTGTTTCTCAGAAGATATGGAGGGTGATGTGGGGGAAGTATGGAAGGTGGAATGACCGCAGAGGAGGCCAATGGAGGAGCAGGAGGCAAATCTTGCCATATTCCCAAAGAGAGAGCAGAAAGGCAGAAAGAAGGGAAAGAAAAAAAGAAGAGTTTTAGAGGATTTGGAGCTAGATTTTGTAAGGCTAGACAGTGAAAAGGACCAGAGCTCGCTGAAGCCATCGGCTTGCTTTGAAGTGTTGTTTCTCCGAGATTTATGAACATTTTGAGTAGCAAGGTTAGCAGAGAGAATGTGCGTGCCCTGAGACGTGTGGTGTGTGGTTCTCTTTGCACAGGGCCCAGATTCCACTACGACGTCGCCTCCAGTCCCTGGGGCAAGCAGGGTGATGAAACTTGCAATCTAGCGCCTCGACGGTCGAGGTGAAACGAGCATCCTGCGCATTCGTTGCGCAAGGACTCAACCCGCAGGAATGGAAGGCTGGTCTCTTCCCGGGAAGGCCGCCCGCCGGCCGGACTCGCAGGTCCCGCCCGGGGTCCCGCCCAGGCTCGGATCGGAGCATCAGGTGGGGCCCCGGGCCCCGGCAGACGGGCTCCGGCGGCTCTCCCGGCCCCGAGCGGCAGCGAGTGGGCGGGTGGTCGCAGGGCATTGGCCGGCTCCGACGGGGTGCAGGCAGCTGGGTGGCGCGGACACCCCTGGGCGCTCGCGGCACCCGAGTCCTCGCCACGAACCTGGCTTCCTAGCTCGCGGGGCCCAGTCCCAGCCCCCCGCGCTCGGCGGCAGCCTCGCGGGGACCCCCGTGCCGGCCCGTGGCCCCCAGCCACTGCGCTCCCGACCCCCAGCGCGCGGACTACAAGTCCCAGCAGCCCCCGCAGCCCGCACCTCCCGCCTCGCCGCCGAGACCCCCGGCGGTCCCAGCGCGGCTCCGGCTGCGCTCGTGGCGGGGCCGGGCGGGGAGGCCGGTCCCGCGGGCGGGGGCGGGGGCGGCTCCGCGACTTCTCCCGCCGCCGCCGCCGCCGCCGCCGCCGCCAAGGGGAGTTTCCAGGAAGTGGCCATATTGGATCCATTCAGCCGCAGCCGCCCGGGCGGAGTGCGTCCCGCAGCCGGCTGGTCCCCGTCGCGGCCCGGGTGCTCGCCCCGGCCCGCCCGCGCGGCGCGGAGCTCGCCATGGCGGCCACTGACCTGGAGCGCTTCCCGGTGAGGGCCCTGCCGGGCCGCGGCGCGGGCGGCGCGGGCGGCGCGGGCGGCGCGGGGAGGGGGCCGCCCTGCAGCTGCCCGGGGGCGCCAGGCGGGCTGTCAGCTCCGCGCGGCCGGGCCTCGACGCGGGGCCGGCCCGGGGCCCCCAGAGCGGCTCGGGCTCTGCGCAGCGCTGGCCTGGCGCCCCGGGGCGTCGGGGGGGCCCCCTTGGGCGCGCGGGACGCGGACCCCTTCGCGGCAAGGAGCCAGTACCCACCTGCCTGGTTCCAGCCAGGTGCGAGGGCAGGCGGGGGCCCCAGGAGCGGGACGGGGGGGGCAGTCCGGGATCCTCCGGACCCCGCGGCTCCCGGGGAGCCAGCTGCGCAGGTGCTGTTGGATGGGCACCGCCTGCAAGGATGCAGCCCAGAGGCTCCGAGGGAGTCCTTCAGGGGAGCCCAGGGGAGCTGCAGACTTGGGTCCTGGAGACCTTGGGCCTGCTTTGCCTTCCCCCTCCACGTGTCTCCCCTCCCCACTCCCCACCTAAGCGCCCGGATCCTGGGCTTCAGTGGTCCCGTCTGAGGCAGCCGTTCCCCCAGGAACGAGGAGCGATTCTGCATTCAGCCAAGTGGACGTTTGTTTGGGCCCCAGTCTGGATGTGCCTTCTGCAGGGCTACCTGCTGGGGTGGTCCCCGCAGGGGTCTCTGTGGGGCTGAGCCCCACCAACAGGCAACTTCCTAAAGATGTTTATAATTCACCTGGGGATGGGGGGAGCCTTTGGGGGATCGTGTCCGCCTGTCCCCGGCTGTCTAAGGCTGGATCTGGGTGTGTCTGGGAGGCTGGGCTGTGACAGTGAAGGAAGCTGTGTCCTCTTGCCAGCATGTGAGGCCCTGGTCTGCGAGAAGGGGGAGGGGGAGGGAGGGCCCGGGCCGTTGATGGGGTTGGGGGGGGGGGGGGGGGGGCGGACGGTGAAATGTTGAATATGTGACTGATAAGGAATTGGTTCTGAGTCTAAATAAGGGAGGTAGGACTTATGTAATTAATGCTATAAATACTATCATCTGAATTTATGCACGTACATTTTCCCTTTAATCTGAAAATACATTTGTTGGTCTACTTTGCAAATATGCATAAATGAAGCAGAAGCTGTTGGTTTCATAATTTCTAGACTGAGGTGTTTTATTCCCATCGAGGAGGGGGCTCTGTGTCAGTCAAGTAAGTTTAAATACGGGGAGATGCGGAATCAGAGGTTGGGTGAATCAGAGGCTTACCTCACCCCAGCACTATAAATTGGAATTTATGTACCCAACGAGGGGAGTCCCTGAATCCTAAGAGACATGCTGATTAGCTGAAGGCCAAGAGATCTGTGAATGTTTGCGCATCTGTGCATGCATGTCTGTGTACATTTTTTGTGCCCAGCTGACCAGAAAGTTATGTCTGAGTCTTGTCTGTGGCCAGAGGTTGCTCTAACAGTTGGTCTTGCTGGTGGGAGCAGTATGTAGGGTAACCGGAATCAGATTGCCTGATATGAATCCTAGACTACTACTCATTGGCCATGTGACCTTGAGCACATTAGTTAACCCCTCAGTGTTCTTATCTATATAATGGCATGAAAATATTACCTTCCTCCTAGGGTTATGGGGTGGATTCAGTAAGAGAATCCTGGTGAGGTACTTAGAGCACTGTCTGGCACATGGTAAGGATTCCATAAATGACACATGATACCTAGTGCCTGAGTGGATGTGGAAACTGACCCTCTTTGTAAGAAGGCAGCAGAAAATGAGTTTGCTCCATTACACGGTCCCCTCCCTCGGGCTCCGTTCACTGTATGCCCAGAGATTGTCCTCAGTCCCTGAGCTGAGAAGCCTGATAGCACTGCCTGGGAGGTAGGGTGGAAAGATTCCCTCAGATTCCCCGTGTTGGCGTTTCTGTGAGGATTTCAGGTATTATGTCCTTGGTAGGTCAAGGCACAGAGAGGGGATTGACTCAGGTATGGCTGTACAGCCTGAGCTCAGGGGCCTTGGTTACTGCCAGGTTAAGCTGGCTGAATGGACGCCTTCCACACCCTCTGCACTCTGAGCCGTCACCCTCCCGGGAGGACTTGCACAAGGTTGATTTGGGTGGAGACCAGGGGTGGGGTTTGGCCTGAATTTAGGAGTCTAGGCTCCATTCCCCTCTCCCGGCTTGTCATCCTGGGAAAATAATTTCTTTTTCTATCTTGCTATAAAATGGGCCCAACCATACTAATATTCTTCAAAGGGTTTGTGGAAGGTTAATTACAGTCAAGGACATGTTTAGAGATATGCTTTGGTGTCTCTCCTGCCTCAGGGTTGACTTTGGTGTTAAGTGCTGGCCACGAGGCTATGATTTGATTGAGCCCTGCCCCCCACCCCTCACCTCAGGCTGGCTTAGTGGTCAACCCGGCACCGGCTGGCCTGGGAACTGTCCCGTCCTGGAGCTTAGATGAGCATATGGAGTTGTACCTCGAGGTCAGTATGTGCTGGGTTCCTATTCCCCGCATGCTATATACAGGCTCAGTAGCCTTTACATCTTGTGGCTAGGCTCTGCTCAACCCTAGGTCAGCTGAGGGGTGTTTAGGGTTGATGTCTCCTGGCTGTGCGTGTCTGGGAAGCCCTCCGGGGAGTTTCTGTTGCCTCTTGTCTTCCTTGAGCAGCCAGACTCCTGTGTGCTTTTGCCATGCTCCTCCTCCTTGCTGGGTCCCAGGGTTTCCTGCCCCTAGGGCCATCTCCTGTGTTTCTTCAGTCAGAATCTGATGGGGCAGGGTTCAAACTCCAAGGCAAAGGAGGCTATAGAGTCAGGAGAAGTGGAGCTGTGAGGGGGAGAGGGAAGAAACGTGCAGCATGGCAGCCTCACGCCTGGCATTCCTCCCAGCCAGTCACCCCCCCCACCATCTCCGCTTTATCCCCAGCACCATCTGTCACTTCCGTTGTCACCCCTGTAATCTTGACACTTCCCCAAGAAGCAGGCTATCCAAGGAGTGCCTATTCTGTCCCTAAAGCAAAAACTGGTGGGAAGGGGTGTGGGAGGCAACTCTCTCGTGCAACAGGGCTCTGTCATGGAGTGGTATCTCCCTGTCCTGGAAAAATGGCCAGGAACCTCCTTGCTGAGACATTCTGAGAGAGATACGAGAGCTCAGCAAGTGACATCTGTGAAGCTCTCAGTGCCTGGTGGTGGTAAGAGGTCATAAGTGAGCACCACCTGCAAGGCTGTAGCTCTGCCCCACCTCCCTCATGGGCATCATGCCTTGCTCTGGGAGCCAACTTCAGGAAAGTCTGCCTGTGATCTTGTTTGAAATGGGTCAGAGTAGGGAGGCTGGTGGGAAGGGACCAGTGATTCAAGGGAACACACAATAAGGGACTGACCAGGGTAGGGAGAGAGAAGATGGCAAGAAGGAGCCCAATTACAGTGTCAACAAGATGGGAGAATGGATGAGGGCTGGGAACGCAGGCCTGACTTTTGTCAAAAGCTTTGGGTGGCAGGGAGGGCTCTGGATGTTTTGTGCCACTGGGTTGTGAATGGCAGCAACCTGCACTCCGGTGACGCTGCAGGTGCTGGTCATTGGTTAGTTTAGGTCTGAGACCCAACCCCAGCACCTGAGTAACCCTTGAGATGACAAAGATGGTGAAGCCCTCTGAATTTTGGGCTCCAAGATGGGCTAGGTGGAAGTATGTTATTTGGGGCATTAACTACCGTGAATGGCTCTGTGGCTTGGGTCCAACTGCCAGAAGAAAGCAGCTGCAGGATGACAGAGCAGAGGCCCTGAGGGCTGGCTGGCCTCTGTGTCCCCTGCAGCTTCTCTAACCTTTCTGCGCCTGTGTTGCCAGCATGGGTCTTGGGGTCCCCAGGCATGGCCCCAAAGGTACAAGCTTTGCTAGACAACCAGACATGGAGCTGTGCAGGCAAGGGGGAGACACATATGACTGGGGAAGGGATGTTTTCCAAGGGCAGCATGCCATCATGATAGAGTCGGAGTGTTCTTTCCTGGAGCCGTCTGTATCTTCAGGACTTATATGAGGAACCATAACTGGGAAGAGGTGATGGAAGACAGGGCAAGGAGCATCTTGGTTGTATCTTTACTTTAATTGTCCTGGGTGGTCTTGAGGCAAATTAGGTATTCTTCTCAGAACACATGGCTTCCAGGCAGTTCTTGGTCCCTATCCTGGAAGCCATGTTAGAGGGATAGTGCCAGGGGAGGAGGGAATAAGGACCCAT